CATTCCAAGGAACTAATATAAATATGTCATTTTATTAAAATTATTTCTAGCGATGGCCAGCATAAGTACATGTGAATACATGATCCCTTAAGAAGTTCATTTATAAGTCCACAGGCTTAGGTTTGCCTAAAATATAAACTATAGCAAGGTGCTGCTCTGTAAACTTCTCAGGGACATGTGTGGCAGAATATAACAAACAAATCAGTTTACAAACTAGATATTTGCATACTTATTCTCATATAAAATCATAACTAAAGTTAATCCTCTTGTTATATTAGAGCACTGAAGCATAAAAACAATGAAATTAATGGTACATGAATGATAAGGCATCATGACTTGAGGTCATTGCCAAATTGTCCCAATAGATGTTAGTTTTAATAAGCTTGGAGATTTTAATAAATATTTATTTGGCCAACTGGAGATTGTGTATTATAGCATTAAACTGGTCATATTAATTATATGCTTTAATTATTTCTAGACTCCCATAGCTTTTGTTGTTACCTGGAATACCAGAAAATTTCAAGATAATAATTAAATGTGAGGTTTAATATTATCTCCAGAGCAGGGACCTTGTGCAGCATGTGCTTACAAATGATAATAACAGTTAATAATATAAATAATCAATGATGTTAAAGTTAGTTAAAATCAAATTTTTTTCAAAATTTCTCAATATAGCACATAATAAAATAAACCTAGTCATTTGGTTAACTAGTCATCACTCTTGATTTTAAAAAAAGGAGAGAAGGGGTTAGAAATATAAAGGATAAGAAAATGTAATAAGAAAGCTAGTGAGTATTTGGTCAAATAAGAACAGAGCTGAATAATATCTCATGTAACCATATAATTATAGGTGGGATGTAAGGAAATATCCAAAGCATGGCCTAGTGCACTCAGAAAAAATAGTATCACCCCCACGTTCTATTATGAACAATTTCAAACCTAAAGGAAATTTGCAAAACTTGTACAATGAGCACCTGTATGCTCACCACCTACATTCTAGCAAATATTTTGTACCCGAAAGAAGCATTAGAAAACAGAGAAAAGAGAAGTCATTTAGGGTGGCAGTTAAAAAAAAGTACAGTAAACAACTATCCTTATATCAAAAATAAATAGTAGGAAATAAAATTAAATATAAGATCCCATTCACAATAACAGCAAAATATTAAAATATCAAGGAAGCAACAAGAAATGTGAATGATATATATGAAGGGAAATATTTATTTTTCTGAGTCACATTAGATAGTAAATAGGAAAGCATATACTCTTGATTTAAAAAAATCACTCATCATTAAGATGTAAATTCACCTTAAAATAATGTTGAATTTATTTGCAATCTTAATTAAAAGTAATCAAATTACCTTTTACAAAAACACTATTGAAATTTGTTTGAAGGAATACACTTGTGTAAAGTGAGGAAAAATATGAAAAAAATCTAAAAAGGGAGAAAAATATGCAACATATTAAAATGTTTCAAAAAGCAATGTTCAAAAATGGTGGCACAAGAATAGACAAGGAAATCAGTGGAGGAATCTGTAAGAGCCAGAAATACATTCCTAGAAAAACTGAAATTTTAGTGTATTAAAATGGGGTTGCCAAACTGTTGGGGAAAGATGTACTATTTAATACATGTTGTTGGTTCATATGTGTAGCTATTTGGACAAAATGTACTTACTCTTTACTTCATAATAAATTCTACACAAATTAAAGGTTTTAACTTTTTCTTAAATGTAAAATAACCAAAGACAAAACTTTTTTGGTAATCTTGGACTAGGAAAGACATTTCTCAGTATAACAAAAATCTGTAAGTAATAAACTAAAATCCAGATAAGTTTCTTTCAAACACTTATGTTTAATGCAAAACATTATAAACAAAGTGAAACAATAATACCAATGGCAAAGAAAAATAGAGTTGTTACATATGTGACTGAAAGGATTAATTTAATACATAAAAACTTTCATGTAAATCAATAAGAATAAGGCAAATTACTCTGTAGGAATTTGGACAGAAGATATGAGAATGGAAAGAAATACAAATCAACAGAAAACACTAAAATTGCATGGCTTTGCTCTTAAATAAAAACAAGATACATTGCTTAAGTCTTTTAAGAAAGACTTAAAATTTATAAATAATACTGCGCATTAATAAAGTCTAAAGAAAATGCATGCATTAGCTAAGAGGTTAATGAATTATATCTAAATTATTCGTGATTAAGAATTAAGAAAACCTAAACATACGGATATAAATAGGTGCCCAAAATATATTGTGAAGGGAAAAAGCAAGTTATAGAACAACACATAGTATGAGATGATTTTGTTAAAAAAAAAAAAGTATATACATGCATGCCCTGCATAATGACATTTTGGTTAATGATGGACAATGGTGGTCCTGTAAGATTATAATACTGGGCCAGGTGGGAGGCCGAGGTGGGCTGATCCCTTGAGGCCAGGAGTTCGAGACCAGCCTGGTCAACACGGCAAAACCCCGTCTCTGCTAAAATATACAACAAGAAGAAAATCAGTGGAGTATGGTGGCGCAGGCCTATAATCTCAGCTACTCATGGGGCTGAAGCATGAGAATCACTTGAACTCGGGAGGCAGAGATTGCAGTGAGCCAAGATCACACCACTGCACTCCAGCCTGGGCAACACAGCGAGGCTCTGTAGCAAAATAAATAAATAAATAAGATTATAATACTATAGTTTTACTGTACCTTTTCTGTGTTTAGATGTGTTTAAATACACAAGTACCACTGTGTTACAATTGCCTACAGTATTTAATACAGTAACATGCTGTACAGGTGTGTAGCCTAGGAACAACAGGCTATCCCATCTATTGTAGGTGTTGTAGTAGGCTATACCAGCTAGGTTTGTGTAAGTGTACTCTGATGTTTGCACAATGAAATCATCTATGATGTTTCTCCAAAAGTATCAAGTATCCCCATTGTTAAGTGACACATCACTATATACTCATATATATGTATGTTCACATATTTATATGTGTAGAAGTCCATATACCAAACTATTTTCAGTGTCAACTTCTCAGAAGTGAGATGATAAAGAATAGGAAAAAGAGTCATAGGGACTTTTATTTTTCTTCCATAAAACTTCACATTTTGGGACTTTAAAATTTTAACTAAGAATCTTTTTATTTTTTTCAATAATCATAGGCTAATATTTTTTTTTTTCTTTTTTTGAGACAGAGTCTTCCTCTGTCGCCCAGGCTGGAAGTGCAGTGGCATGTTCTCGGCTCACTGCAAGCTCCACCTCCCAGGTTAACACCATCCTCCTGCCTCAGCCTCCTGAGTAGCTGGAACTACAGGCACCAGCCATTGCACCCAGCTAATTTTTTGTATTTTTAGTAGAGACGGGGTTTCACCGTGTTAGCCAGGATGGTCTTGATCTCCTGACCTCGTGATCCGCACGCCTTGGCCTCCCAAAGTGCTAGGATTACATTTTATAATGGAAGAAAATGTAAAAGACTAAAACACTTTAAGTAAAAAAAAAAAAAAAAATGATAAAAATAGTTGACAAAAGAAAATCAATTCTGCAGCTTCTTTAGTGAGAAAAGACTGGATTTCACAGCCCCATGCTTCATGTGTCTTATTATATCTGAGTTAACTGTGTAGTTGCACTGTTTCTATCTTCATAAAGTCCTTGTTTAAGGAGCATGCCAAGCATTATTATAGATAGGTATCAGGAATAAGAGAACTCCACCTGCCAACTGTGGTCTCAATTCTGTTGCTCAACAGAGGCAGAACAGATGCAACCCCCCATAGCATGAGGCTCTCAGAGCCTCATTTGTGCCTGAGTAGACCACAACTTTAACTTACAGCAGACATTTGTTATAGCTACCTTTTGTTCTATACTTACTATGTGCCAAATGCAGCTCTAAACTCTTCATATTATTAACTAATTTGAATCTCATTAACAATCCCATAAGGTTATTATCCCTTTTAGTATTTTCAGTGTACAGATTAAAAAAAAAATACTCAAGTCTAAAAGGCTCAGTAACTTCCTTAATGACACATATCTGGAATGATGTTCATATGCTAATTCAGGATTTCCTAATTCTAATGTTCATATGGCTTTGCTATACTTAGAGTAGTGGAGTATCTAGTGAAGGGAATTTTTGGGGGGAGGATGGAAAAGAAAACAACTGTTGATATACAAGCTTGTATCGTGGTTAGAGAGAGCTTGGGCAAATGTATGCAAGATCACAGGCCTTCCGAAATTTCTGCTCAATTTTCAAAGCTACTGTGACCTGTCAGGGTGGTCATTGCCAATGCACAATGGCTGGGAAGGACAACAAAAGCTCCAAAGATAAAATTTGCTTGATGGCAAGAAAAAAATAGGGTCAGATCTATGTTATGAGTGTCTGAATACCAGAACCTGACCTAGTTTTATTTATGTTAGCAGAAAGGGTTTCTGTGAATATAAAGACTTTGGTAGAAGAGGCTATCTTAGAATGAGATGCCCTTAGATGATATTTCAAGTATTAAAATCTCTGGGGTCAAAGTCCTGCACTAGTAGAAGTGACTAAAATATGAGTTTCAGACTCAAGCAATCCTGCTTCAGATACGAATGACATGCAGAACGTGCTGCTTGAATAGCAGCAGCAGATCTCTTTTGTCTGGGTCTTTAGATGCTCAGCAGGTCTCTGGCTTTGCTAGCAACGGTCATGATGAAAGGGGTGGGATCCAGTCTGTTACAGCTGGTCTCTAGAATTGGTTATGATGTTCCCATCCTGAAGAGAGTGTGTGGGAGTCATAGTCCAGGGCAGTTGGGAGCAAACAGGACCATCCCTTTGCCCAAGTATAAGCATCCTAGGGGAATTCCTAGAAATACTGGGGGAGGAGGTACCCTTAAAGAGGGGTGCTGGGTTTCCTGTTACTCCGGGCTGGAGATTACTGAGTGATGTACTCTGAGGCAAATTATTCACAAACCACGTTGTGAAACAGCATTTCACCAGATGCATTTTCATGGCAGGCTTGTTGAAGGCAGAAAAACTGCGCAAGATTGGGACATCTTCTGGAAGTTTTGAAAGAAAAAAATGGTACCTGATGGCCAGGAAGTGTGACTATCAACATAATTCCCAAGCAGTGAAATGGGTTTCTGATTTGGTAGAAGTTCTAGAATATTGATCGTGACTGAAACATCACACACAAGCAAATCTAAGTGAAATGTAACCATGGCCACTGGCTCGTGAGCAGTGAGTAAATAATGCCCACTGTCCAGCATAAAATAGGGCTTAATGGAGTGAGAGCAAAGTGGCAAGTAATTAAAAGCCACTTCTAACAATCAAGTGTGAATGCCCCACGGGAAGGATATGTTCTGGACAGCTGGCCACAAAAGACTGGGGACCTCTTTCACTAAATGACAAGCCAATATACTTACTCTGTAATAAAAGTCTTCCTTCCTAGCCATTTGCATGGACATACAATCTGAAGATTTCATGTGGTGATCTCTGATTCAAAGATTTCCTTAGTTAAGCAAATTACTAAAGCAAAAACTTCCATGACCTGGAAGGAAAAAGGAAACAGAGCAACCAAGGATTCTGCCTATATATGGCAAGATTGAGCCTATTGCCCCATGAATGTGGAACTCACCGAGTGTGGACACTCAGTGTTGTGCTTCACACCTTCACAAGCATGAAGAATAAGGCTAGTTTGTTTCCCAGGTTGACTAATGTAGATTGCAGCCATCCCAAATATAGAAGGGATTAACTAATCGGACTCACTTCCTGCTATTACCAAGCATTGAAACTTGCAGTTGACCTTGATGTAGGTTTTAAGGGGTGGAACACCTAGCCTTTGTCTTCCACGTATCACCTTCTTCTAGCCCCAGCTCTCATCACCAACATGAAGATGTGGTTCACCGAGTGTTGAACACCTCCTTTTGTGGTAAGTACAATGACAAGTATACCCATCACATTGAATGCAAAGTGGCCCATTGTGAAAATAGGTCACACATGCTGTTTCTATGTCGTAAATACCAAGGCTACCTAGACATGGTTTTTAGAAAATAGTGTCTAATGTGTTTTTGCTTGTGTAAGTCTTTCATGAAGCCTTGATCATTTTCTGCCCTCACCTCTTCCTCAACATTTAGAGGAAACAGCTTCCAACTACTTCTCATCTTTTCCTGTTTTCTAACACCGCCCCCCCTGCCCCCCTCCCAGAGACTTTGTTCCTTCTACCCCATAGGATTATTTTATGCCTGACATCTACCCCTACCATGTTGAGCCTCCATATCCTGTCATAACATGAAGCCTGTACTCTCATGTAGGCCCACATTCTCAGGCTCCTCTTCATGCAGCCACCATGAGAAATTTAGCTTCTTTTTTGATCTCTGTTCTCTCATGAAAAATTGGCTTTTAACCTTTCTTGGTGGTAGGCAAAATGAAAGGCTCAAGCAGAGGTTGGGAAAGGATGTGAACCCTATCCAGGCTAATAATAATCGTTATTCTATGATACCTGTTTGCGATCTTTAGTGCTGTTTTTTTATTTTTCATTTTTTGCTATTGATGATGTTGTTTGTTTCATTAACTGTTTTGTGGCCAGGCGCAGTGGCTCATGCCTGTAATCCCAGTACTTTGGGAGGCCAAGACAGGTGGAGTTATTTTGGTTTCAAAACAAGAATTGTGATTTTTCTCCTTTGGAAATATTTCTCGCAACCTCACTCTTACTTTTTACTTTGCTGGATTGCACAGTTGCTAACTTACTGCATGCTTAGGGCACAGAATACAAAGCATTCCCTTAATGACTCCAGATTTCACATGGAGAACTCAGACACATGTTTCCCATTTTTCTCCCTTTTGTGCTGCATATTTGTGCTGTATCATTTTATTGGTAATGGGAGAGATGCCAGAATATTTACAGGATCATGATCATGGGAGCATGCTGTTATTTGTACTATGTCTGGATAATACCAACATAATCAATCAAAATGGAAACATTTGGTCAAATAAGCATTTTCAAAATCATTAGTATAATGCTAATAGCTTTGAGTATTTAACCAAACTTACAGTTATTTGGACATGATCAGAAACAAACTTAGCAGAGTACCTTGTAAACACTCTGTTTCCAAAAAATGAAGAAATTTTGTGGAATTTTGTGTAGTTGCAGCTTTACTCAGGAAAATAGGACTCCATCAGCAGCACCAGCACTGATATTCTAAAGGAGACATAAGCAAGTTGCTTAACCATGCTATGCCTCAGCTTCCTCCTTTACAAGATGAACATTACTAAATCTTATTTATTTTGGGGGACCTTTGGGAATATAATGAAAACTGTGAACCCTCATGGATAAATACAACATGAAACTTGTAAGCGACTTCTAGAGGTTTTACAGACATCCTAAAATCAATCCACACATCTCGTAGGGAGTTGTTAAGAACTCTTTAAGACTGATGACTTTTGAAGTCTTGTTAGTTAAACATTTTATGATTCTGTGAATTTTCTCCTCTATCCTCAACCATTCCTTTACCATGAACTCCTACAACGCATATTATGTGGGAGTTGTAGATTTGCTAAAACATGCTTTGTTGCCAATCTAGTACTGCTTCTACATTCTGTGGCTTCTTTTCCTGAGCAAAGATTCTCATAGAATTAAGAAACATGAAGAATCAGTATCTATTCCTGTCTCGCAACCATCCAGGCATGACTGACAAGCACCACCTTCTGGAGGAAACAGGTAGTAAATGTCAAAGTTGACGATCCTTGATGCAGCTATGCTTTTCTCCGGTACCCAGGGCCCAATCTCTCCCTGACTTCAGCATCAGTCTTACCTCACACTTCTTAAAGAATCTCTTTATCCTTACTCTAACCAATGGTGAAGCTACCTTTTGCCTGGGGAACCTACAAAATGGTTTGAGTCTAAAAATTAATTATATTAATTGAAAGAATTCTACCTTTCATTAGAAATCTCATAGTAACAAACTTCAGATCATTTGGAGATACTAGGCTAGAGTTCATACTAGAGGCCATATGTCAAAGGACTTTCATATGACTTGTCATTAAAATGTGGTGAAGTAGTTTAAAGTACTTAGTGGGAATAGGGAAGGGACTATGAAAACAACAAATGATCTTGGATGTAACAATGATGAATTAATTAAAATAATGTTCCACTGTAGCCCTGTGCATAACAAAGCATCAAAAGAGTGATTCAAAAGATTTATTTTAAGTATGCAAAATAGTTTTGGATAAATAGCTATTCTTGCTTTTTCATATGCATGGTAAGTTTTTATACATACTTTGGATTAGTTGTAAGATACAAATTTATTAAATAACAGAATTGCCAGAAATTGTTTGTGGATATCCTTATTATGACTCAAAACACTTAATTTTCTGTTACAATTTTTATAGAAGGCTTTTTTGTCTCAAAATTTTTTCTCTGGTTCACTGGGATCAGATCAATGTTTAAATGAAACCATTTGCCCTGTGGGAATCCCTAGGAGTGGTAAGTTCTATAAGGGTTTTCTCCATTGTCAAATTGAAAGACCCCATCCCATTTATATCTTGTTTTAATCTAAGAGGCAAGAATGACTATGTTTCCTGAGAAATGATCCTTTTCTTTAAAATAAAACAAATTAGTTAAATCCCATTCACAATGTATCTTAGAAAACTTTTGAGAGTTGAGTCAGATAATGAAATGTTCCTTGAGGCCAATAATATCCCAGAACAACATTGGTTTTCTAGGGAGATAAATTGAGTACAATGAAGTTTACTGTGAAGGAATCGCAAAAATGAAACCTTAGAAATATAGACTCTAGACATATTAATATAGTTTTCCTGGAATTTAATGAAAAAGTAGGCATTGATTGTTTACTCCTAGGCAAAATTTCTCTGACCTACCTAAAAATCCTCAGTCTGTGAGTGTTTTGGTCTTCCCAAGGGGCTATTCATCATTCTGTGGCGCTATATTTATTTTTTGAACTTACTTTCCAGATGGACATATGTATGGTTTCATTAAAGCCAAATGTGGTTTGTGAAATATGAGAATAATAGCTAATCATGCCAGTGAGAGCACCTGAGTGAGGCAGACTGAGGGCATTTTCAGGAAAGTCAATAATAAAGTTAAAGAGGCTACCATTTGGGGGGTACCTACTATTTTCTAAGCACTTTTTATATAGGGATGTATCTTAACTACAATCTTGCAGAATAAATACAGTTCCTATTTTATCAATGGAGAGATGAGGCCCTGAGAGCCATTAAATGATGGAACCAGGATTTGGATCCAAGTTTGTCTGGTCCGGAGTCCATGTACTTTCTGTTCTGCACTACTGCCTCTGAAGGTAAGTGTTCAACCTTGGGGGCTTGCTAAATTGCACAAGTTCTCTATAACAGATAACTGGAAAATGAATAATTATGAAAATTTTGCTTAGTCCATCCATGCACAAAATTTTGTCTTTAAATAATATGCCTTGTTGGTAGATACTTTTTCATTGGTACTATTCATCAAGCATCTCAGATGTTTGTTTGTTCAGCTGAAAAATCATCAACACAAGCATACACAGAGGTTCAGCCTACCATCCTTTAGGAGCACATTTGGAACTACATGTTCGAAAAGTATGGCAATATCAAGAAGAGAATTATTAGGGCAGCTATGCTGCCAGGGTCTTATGAATAAACAATGAAAAGAATAAGGCAGAGACTGATAAATCAATCCAAGACAAAGCATTGGTGCAAGACAATGAAAGCAATGATACAGATACTTCAAACTATTTTCAAAGAAAGGGCAAAAAGCTTCCCATGTATTGGGGATGTAAACCCAGCAAAAAGAAATCTCTCCCACACTCTTGCCCTCATCCTGTTGGGACAAGTGTTGATAATGACCTCAAGGAAAATCTTGGAGGTTGTACTGTTTTAAAATAGGCACTTGGCCAAAGAGAAGAAGTCTGCAGCATGCCAACATCCAGTCTAGTACGGGGTGCTCCTGATAAGGAACAGATGTAAACACAGACAACTGTTCAAATTTGCCAAGAGAGCTGATCATCCTTTAGCCAGTAATCAAAGTCTAGAAAATAACCAGAAATGCTTTCCTATAAACAAAGAAAATTGGAAAAAGAATGGGAAACTAACATCCAGGTTTTGAAATTGCTGAAAAAGTGAGGATGTGCTACACATTCACACATAACAAAGACACACGTGTCAAAGATGCAATGTGGTGAATGTTGCAGAGAGGGTCCAGGTGCAGTGCCCTCTCTGTGATGGGACATGGGGCTGGGACCTAACAGCCCTGCAGGGAAGGGCATGGGAAATTAATGGGCATCAATGCTGAAATTGTTCACATACCTCATCACGCGTAATGAAGAAGTTTTACTGAAATGCTTCCCCGGGAATGGCCTGTAAAAGCTCAGTGTGTCTGTTTCCAAGTTAAGAACACAGAAAGTTCAGAAACTAGAAAACAAAATGCATTTGTGTTGGGATACTTCATGTTGCAATACTGAACATCTGGGTTTCTAAGTTCAAGGCTCAAAGGTTGCCTTTTTCCTCTTAGGTATTTTGCTTTAGTTCTGTCTATAAGTTGGAATTGCCAGGATTCCAATAGAGCCTGGGTTAACTGAGAAAAAGATTAACAGTCTTTTTACTCATCATTTAAAACTCAAAAGAAGAATTATTTAATGAAGTTAAACAGCAGCACTAATGAGCACTCTAAAAAGATGCTATAAAAATATAACCCTAATAAAACTGGGCGTCTCTGTGACCTACATAAAAGACACACCTACCTGACATCCAAAAAGGTATTCAAAAGCAATTTAAAACATAGTGATGTCTATACAGAGGCAGCAAAGAGGTCTGCCATTCACAGCACATAGCAAAACCTCCTAAAAAGCCTTTTCCCCTTTCTCTCCCAAGACTTCACATAGCAGAATCACTCTCCTAAGTATGTCTCCACACACGTTTAAACTTGGTCTCCCCCAGTTGAGCCTATGTTGACTTTCCTCTCTCCAGATCTCTCTCTCCGTTCTACCCCATCCTCTCTCACACATTTGCATTCAGGAGCAAGAAGAGCACTTATTCTGTATAACAAAATGATATGCACCTTTTAATGGAAATTAGCTTAGCCCTTCACCTGTCAGCTCTGTATTTGTCCTTCATGTCAGATTAGAAAAGCAAACACCCAAGAACCAACATGATCTCTTCCTTCACTGGAAGGACGAGGTATGGATATGCATGCTTTCGTGTTTTTGTTGGTCCTTGTCATATTAAAAAAGGCTTAAAAGGACCCAAATCATACACAAGTCTTAATACTTTCATTCCTGTAATCTTTAAATCATCAATTATTGCCTAACACACATCCTTCATTCTTGTTGACCCTGAATCTTTGGGTCAAACCTTTAGATAGACATCTGTACTTGAACAACATAGATGCAACTCTCTGGCTTTTCTTATGATATAAAATTGTTATATGCACTTCCCAAAAGCTCTCTCACATTTTGAGAACTCTCTATATATTAAAAGATAATGGGAGACTTCTAAACAGAGCCCAGATGGTCTGGTTTTCAATTCATTGCTGGTTCTGTTCAGAGCTAGCTGAGAAGAAACGGCAGTGACGTAAAGGGAAGAAGGAGGGGTAATGAGATCAGTGACCTCTGAAGGAGTTGCCTAAGTGAAAAAGGTAAGTGTGTCAGTCCCAGACCTGCTTGTCTCACACCCACCCTTTCCACCTCCTCTCTGTGTCCTCAGGAGGCTTATTCCACACGCTGTATTTCCCAGTATTTCTTGCCTGCTGGTTCGTGGCCAGTAGAAGCCATCAGTAGAAGGCTGGAGAACAGAAAGAAGAGAGAAACCAGAGTATGTCTCCTACTACTACTCATTTCATCCAGGCAGCAACTTATTTGGTGACTGAACTTGACCAGAACTAACAAGAGGCCATTTCTTATCTTCATTGATCCCACTTTGGGTGACTATGTGCATATGTTGCTGAATTTTGTCAGGTGGTGCTGACCCTAAAATACTGGGGGCCGTGGCATACTCTATGATAGATGTACTATATTTCCTTTCTAAAATCTGAAAACTTGTGAGTTATGAGACTTATCTACCCCAAGAAGTTTCAGATGAGGGACTACAGATGTATAACATACAAATTCCATATGATTTTTAATTCATAAAAAACTAGACATGTAATCGGACATTAAATTTGACTTTTCCTGTTGCCTTGGATTTTCAACAACAAAAAATGCAGTAGTATCTCCCACATCTTAAAGAAGATGCTCTACCACATAAGTGAGACACACTTGGTGATTATGCTGGTTATTCTGCCGAAGCTAGCTCATCCTGCACCTCCAGACTACAGAAGGTGTGGCCAAGAATTCATTTTGGGGATAGACTGATGATTAGATTTCTTTACAGAGACAGTTGTTGCTGTGTTAGTCATCCATCCCTCTCCTCTCTTGAAGCTTCTAAGGAGTCCTCCCCTCAATCCAAAGGAGGGATGGCTCCAGGAGGAACCCTGAGGGAAGGACCTCTGAACACTTAGAAGATGCAAGGCAGGAATCTGGCTCATCCCCGAAAGAACGTCAGTGCATGAGTCTGTATATGAAGTTTCTGTTGCTTGGTGGTAGAGGGAAGGGACAGGTCTGAGTTGGGACAAGCCTGCACTTCCACAGTTTAGAAGGGCAAGGAGAAGATTTTCATTTGGTCCAGATCCAGCCCACAAAAGGGGTGGCCTTGAGAGGGATTCTGCAGAGGTGAGGAGACCTAAGGAGCGGGCTAGATTGCTCAAAGCTTGAGGAGTCTCAGCAGGTGGGAAAAGTAATAAAAATATCCAGGTGAGAGTCATTATTGGATATGATCACATCCAGAAGTCTCCAGTGGAAGGTTATATCATTCTCAGTCACAGAAGACTCTTTCATATCCTATGCATTAAAAATGAGATAAACTCTGGGTATATGGTAGGGTTATCAGAACAAAGGATTGAATACACTTCTCTTCTGCACTATAAGTTTCGTAGCCTGAAGGAGGCTTAACCAAGGGAGAACTTTAAAATTGAATGACAGTGTAAATTTTGAATGAATGATATTTCTCTGGAACTGGCATTCTGATGCTGGGAAGAAATGACTTATTTCAAGGCAGACATGCAAATAAGCAACAAGAAGCAACAGCTCATAGGCTCCCTGTAGGCAGTGTATATGTGGGATTGCCTGCAGTTCTGGGCAGGAGAGGACGTCAGCCATGACTAGGCCGAGTGGGAAGATGTGCCGTAACCACAGGGACTTGGGAACTGAGAGCAGAGGCACATAAGCCAGATACCTGTCATCTGTGGGTTAAGGAAGTGGTGATAGTAGACCTGGTATTCTTTCCACACCATGAGAACCCTTAGGAGTGAGTCTGAGATAGGGCCAAACACACAGTAGACACTCGGTAAATTTTTGTTGAATGAGGATAATGTAAGTTGTGGAGCAAATCTACCTTCCTCATGTTCTAGAGTATTCTTTGCACATTTGAACGTGAGCTTCTGCTAAAGAAAAAAAGGGGCTTTGATCCATTACTTGGCTGTAAGGATAACTACTGCCACCAATAGTATGACATGCCTGAAGGTCAAGAAGACCCCCATCAGTAGAGACCTACAACTCTCTAGAGGAGCTGTCATTGAAGGATGACTACTAACTTCCCAGCTACAATTTACCTATAAGGCTGGTGCTGCAATTTATCAATAAGACTGGCTTATTATTTAGACAGTGTCTCTAAGAGGATGCAATCAGGATAGAAATAAGATGGAGTTGTTGAGGAACCTAAAGACCTTAAACCCTCTTCTTTTATAGCCTCCATCTTTTGGGAACTCAGAAGTCTCTCTTGAGAACTTTTTCTAATTTATGCATTGGCGGACCAGTCTCCTCTGCATTGCTAGAATTACTTAAAGGGATAATTTCCCTCCCTTTAAGCCATATCCTACCCAGTCGTCACATTTGTCTTCCTAAAATACTGCATTATCTGTATTTCTTCTTGCTTAAAAAATGTTCAGTAGCTGCTTACTGCTTACAAAATAGAACCCAAATTCCTTGGTCAGTTATGCAAAGCACAACATAGATTTAAGCAAAGATTTTGAGTGGAGTCATTTCACCGACAATGACACTCCAGCCACCATGAATGATCACCCTTTGAATGTTGATAGAATTGATGGATTCATGGTTTCCACCTGCAGTCTCTCCCTGTTCCAATATACCCAGCAAAATGTCGCCAGATTTACTTTGTCGCAGAAACATTACTAGCTACTCATTACCTACCAAAAAAATCCCTAATGTCTTAAGTCAATGGCTGTTAACTGTGAGTGTATGTTACAATTAACTGGTGGGTTTTGTAAACATGCCAACAATGCTCCAGTCATCTAAATTAGAAGTGATAACCAGTGAGGCCCTGGGGTCGTCATTCTTTTTAAAGCTCCCCAAGTGAGTCTAATGCATAGCCAGAATCCAGAGCCACCATCTTGGCTGATCTTTCAGGAGCTCTGTATAGGAAATGGCAAGGACAGAGGCGTGAGAGGTAGGATCAAAAGGAGATAATTGAGGTAATTGAGATGTTTCTTGCAGATGCCCTGGGGATGAGAAAGCTAGAGTTTTTACTCTCTGAGTGCAAATGAAAAATGAACTCTGCAACCAGCTCTTGCCAGTTACAGTTCCTGAGCCACCCTTCAGTCTTTTATATCTGGTTCTGGCAGAAGTGTCAGCAGTGCAGCCTTTAGCAGGTTCCCAGTAGTGCTTTGGTAGGCCGTTGTCCCCATTCTGTGCCTGTATGTCCCAACCCTGCCCTTTCCTAAGGGACAGGACTCTGAGAGGCACAATTGCAAAAGTAAGGCTTTATTGGCGGATAATTTTTCCCATTGCATAAAAAGGAATAGGGAGACAGAGTTTTGTCTGTTATAGCTACTTATAGGGTACTCATAGCTCTTTTCTCCCTGGGGTAGAATTAGGTGCCATTTATGTCACATAGCCTCCCTGCCAGAATTTCTATCCCAAAGTGAAACAGAGACTCTTGATGGACATAAATGATACTACTATGAGTGAACAGAGATAGCTGTGCCCCCTAACTCCTATTAGGAGGTATTAATGTCTAGGTTGTGCTACGAGACCTAGGGTGGGCTTTATCAAAGCGCTTTATGACTGTGCTTTCGAAAATGTTTCCCTCTAGTCATCATTATGAGGTAATGTATTAGGTAATGTCTTGAAAAATGGCCAGAGGGCTGAAGTGTCAGCTTTACAGCTCACATACCTGAAAATAACAATGTTGGTTATTATTTTTACACTACAATATATTTGGAATGCCTCATAAATAGAAATTAATCGTGACAACTCTGTCTCTGTACTTAAACACAACCTTACCAACAAAAAATGCTCAGAGAAGCCTAGGCCATGAACTTAATACTTTAGAGAAGAATTTCTCTCTTTTATCCCATCTAGGGAACATTCCCAGCATCTTTTGTCTCAGCCATAAGAGCCAACATGAGTTACCCGAGGTTCACTAAAATCCACAGATAATCTCCAGTCAACATGTTTAAAGAGTTACAACCTCCGTTTCCATCTTATCTTCTACCAGAAATTCCAATAACCACAGAGAAATGACTTAATATATTCAGCTCAAAAGACAAAAAGACTACTTGAAAAGTGAGAGTGTTAGCAAAGACATGACCACATTATTTTGAAACCCCATATGTATGTATATAACTCATCTCATTTTTTAAAAATTTTTTTAGCCCCATATGTGTGATTCAGTGCTGTTTTTGTTTTGTTTTCCTTTGTTTTGTTTTTGGAATTTAATACCTTATAAGTAAATGAAAAGATAACTTAGTGTCTGTGAACTGGGCCAAAAAAAAGCATTGATTTGTGTGGGTCCTATGCAGAAATCACTCTAGCAAGTATGACCTTCACATGCAAAGTTTGGTCACTACTCTGGAGTAACACTTTTCAGATTATTGAAAGAAAACAATATTAATAAAATATGAATTAAGCATACACTATGTACAAAACAATATCAGCAAAATGCAAAGTAGTATCTCTCCAGTCCTAGTTTCTAGGATATTCATATGTAACTGAATATATATATATAAAAAAATATATACACTGTCCTATACAATTAACCTTGGACTCTCAGTAAAACTGATAATTTTCTCATACTGCACTAATCCAATTATTCATTTCCATGAATGTCCTTCTGCTGGAGATTAGGGACTTGCTTTGTTGTTGTTACCTCCAGTGCCTCATAGAGTAGATATTCACATGAGGTAATTAATATATGTTTGCGAATAAATGACCATTTATAGAGAATGTGTACACTAATATATGTATATGCAAATACACATATATGCAATAAATACATATCCAACTTAAAATTATATATATATTCACTTATATGAAATTTGATGTATATTTGTGTAAGATTAGAAGAAAGGAAATAACAAATGTATTACAATATTTCCATCATGCTGGTGTTACGAAAATGGAGCTATGCCTAAATTGTCCTTTAATGTCATAGTACAAGTGGTGGCCTACAAGACACACGAGTAGGAACTGGTTTGGCCTTTATTTTAACTGAATCTCTGGCATAACAATGCCCTTTAGCACGTTTTTCTGGACGCATTCTCCAAGAGTTTTTCAATAAAGCAGATTTCGGCATTGCTGCTTCTTAGTGAGGTCCTGAAAAAACTGCAATGAAAAGGAAGATAACTTCCTTCCAAATATGTGTCTCTGTATTATATGGAAATAAACAATAAAACATGTGATACAATATTTTCATTACCTGAATTATGTATTTTGAGGTCCAAAGAATGAAAAAGATGTTCCATTTTTTTTCTTGCAGCTTGCTTGGAGGCAAATGTCCTTTAAAATTTGCACATCATGAGAATGGAATGTGCTCAGAGATCAGCTGAAAGTTTTTTTTTAAAAAAATGAGGGCTTTGCAGCTGTGGCTGTGTGCTTAGGCTCAGCAGGAGAGGACAGGTCCCCTTCTGGTCATCCTACAGGGAGTTTTGACAAGCTCACCAGGGAATACAGACAATGCTTTCTACTCTGATAAAGCCCCATGTGGGCTCTAAACCAAACAGATGCAGGTGTATTATAATAATAATATATTTTCTAGTACAGTATAATCTGTTTCCCACTATAATCTTTTGAACTAGACAGAAAAGATAATTGTCCCCAGGTTATAGACAAGGAAGCCAAACGTTGGTGAGGTTTAGTGGCTTGGAAGTTTCCACAGTAGAAAGAGGTTCAATTGGAAATAGGACCTAGTATCAGATTTCCTATAGATGTCAAAGGATATAAATGTTTGTAGTCTTATTATTTCCTGACTTTTTGACCCTCCGCAAGTTTCTCAAGCTCTGAGTTTGACCAGCTTCTTCAATAACACAGAATAAAAGTCTCTCACATTGTTACTCTAAGGGTGAAATAACATCTGAAAATAGTTTTGTCAACAGCGAAGTAGTGTTCAGAGTTCATGTCTGCTTACTCTTTTATTCCTCTCCAAACAGAAACTATAGTTTCCCAGATGCATACACTTATAACAACACCGATACACAATTCTTTATATACAATCCTGAAATCCCCAAGAATCTAAATCCAAAAGTATGTGTAACTCATTTAGAGGCAAAATCTTCTCTGAATTGACAGGCCTATGTATTACCTTGTTTTTCTTTATTTAGTATGAATATCCATTTGTTTCACAGCAGAAATACCAATGTAATTACAAGGTCATGAGTTGCTGACTCATACCTGTAGGAGGTATTCTGCAGTAATTGTTAACATAACATTTTATCTTTATTGGGATTACCAAATATCCTGTATCCCAATAAACATCTTGTCTTAGGGATTTTGGAGACTTGTAACATGAGGCTTGTAACATAGAATCCCATTGACCCAGCTTCCAGATCACCCCACAATGCAATGCTACAGTTCTAGGTGAAGATTGTTTGGTTCTCAGAGGCTGAGGAGTTCTGGGGTCAGCCATAGGTTGGGTCTACTCCAAAGCAGACTCGGGACAGCCTTGGAGATGCCAAACACTTCCCATCCTGAGCTTCACCTCGATCCCTGTGGCCCTTAGAATGATTCTTCTTACAGCAACACAGCCAAGTGCTAGAACCAAGTAGCCATGTTAAAAAATGGATGAGCACTGGCCAATTCAATCTGAGTTTGAATCCCTGACCTACCACTTACCAGTTCTGTACCCTTGACAAGTTTATCAAGTTTTTTAAACTTCAGCTTCTCATCCTTAAAGTGGGAATTTTTATAGCGTTTTTGAGGGCTGTGTAAGTTTTAAATGGCACAGCATATGTAAAAGGGCTTTCCGTGGTGACTTACTCATATTAAGTGTTCAGTGAAAGTCAGATTATTTTCTCCTTTCATTTGTTGGCATTTCCGTAGTAATTCCATTAACAGAAATTTCTACCATAAGGCTATTTGTGAAGATTTTCTTCAAATAACTGATTTATTGTTGTTGTGGTTGTTAATTAAAATAGTTGATGATTGTTATTGTTTTTTTATTTCTGAATCTCAATCTGGATCTGTGCCATTTTCAAGTCCAGAAAGTTGAATTGGTTTAATTCCAATAGTATTCTGCCAAGATATTTTTTTAAGAAAACAAACTCCGTTAATAATGTATGAGGTTTATAATGCACACGTATCACAGTTTGCAGGACACAGAGCAAAATACCCCTAAGTGATAAAGTGTGTTTATTGTAGGTCAACTAATCCCATTTCTTAAACCTGGAATAGATGAAATTTGATGCTTGGCTCTAGTCTGTAAAGAACTGCTGGGCACGGACTGTACCTTGGCTGTGATTCATTCTGATCTTCTGAAGGCTGGAGCCCATGACAATAGAGTGTGAGCTTGGCGTGACTAATTCCCTTATAATTATCAAAAGGTCTTGAGTCAAAAAGTTCTCTCCCGAGTTTGATCACAAGTCATAAATGCACAAGGAGAGATTCCCTCCAGTTTTCAAGTTTCTCTCTGCTGCTGACTTGGGCAGCATGGGAGCCGCTTCTCAGGCTACCAGGGAGCCTCACGGTCAGGTGCTGGATGATGCTCTTGACCCCTCTCCTCAAGTAAAGGAGGGCATGTTACACAAGGAAGGATTGCAAGTTTATGGAGGTGGTGTTATAGGTCAGTGGGGAAAGGAAGGACAATTCAATAAACAGTCATAGGACAGATAGACATTATAAAATAAAATAAGCCTCCCTGATTTGGACTGAGGAAATCAATGCCAGTTGATTTAAAGACTTGAACAGAAAAAAATTTATAAGAAAATATGATATGACTTCAAGACAGTGATACAATTTTAGATGTTTGTTCCTTCTGAGTCTCACGGTGAAATGGAATCCCCAGTGTTGGAGGTGGGGCCTGGTGGGAGATGCTTGGGTCATGGGGGCAGATCCCTCATGAACCGGGGGTTGGTGCTGTCTTCCCACCAGTTAGAGCTCTCTCTCTAATTTCACGTGAGATCTGGTTGTTTAAATGTCTGGCACCTCTCCCCTCACTCTCGCTCCCTCTCACCATGTGACATGCCTGCTCCTGCTTCACCTTCTGCCATAAAAGTTTCCTGAGGCCTCACCAGAGGCCGAGCAGATGCTGTGCCATGCTTCCTGTACAGCCTGCAGAACCATGAGCCAATTATACCTCTCCTCTATAAATGAACCAGGCTTACATATTGCTTTATAGCAATGCAAAAATAGCCTAATACAGATAGGGAAGGAGTCTTAAAAAAGACGAAAATGCACAAACCATGAAAGAAAATGTTGCCAAATTTTACTAAATGAAAGTTAAAACTTCTGTAGAACACAAGGTACCAAAAGTTACCATAACACTATTTTTATAAAAATTGGAAATGTGCAAAATAGGTCTATATATTATTTTTATATTATGTATATAATATGTATGTTTGTGGGATGTGTGTATATAGGTATGTGTATATAAATGTATATATATAGTATAAAATACTCTTGAGAAAAACATGCATTAAATTCAGAAATTACTGGAGTTACCTCCAAAAACACAGTGAAGGAAATGAGAGAAGAGAGTGATACACAGGGGGCTTCAACTGTATCTGTAATATTTTATTTCTTTAAAATTTTCTTTCTTGGCTGGGCACAGTGGCTTATGACTGTAATCCCAGCACTTTGGGAGGCCGAGGTGCGTGGATCAGCTGAGGTCGGCAGTTCGAGACCAGCCTGACCAACACGGAGAAACCCCGTCTCTACTAAAAATACAAAATTAGCCAGGTGTGGTAGTGCATGCCTGTAATCCCAGCCACTCGGGGGGCTGAGGCAGGAGAATCGTTTGAACCCAGGAGGCAGAAGTTGCAGTGAGCCAAGATTGTGCCACTGCACTCCAGCCTGGGCGACAGAACTAGATTCCGTCAAATATATATGTATTTATTTATATTTATTTATTTTATATATATATATATGGAAAATATATATATGGAATGCACAGTGGATACACAGGTGTTTGTTATTTTAGTAATTCTTGTATGTTTGAAAGATTCTATATTTAATGTAAAAAATGCTATTCACTTGATAAACAATTCATTTTGTGTTTACATAGGCAAACATTTGGAAGAACTAGCAAGCTTCAGAGTCCCTGGGCCTTTTGCCTCTCCTACGACATGGATCAAAGGCTGCTTCTCTGACACCTCATTTATTTTTCCTAAGTTTGACTTGAGAGAAAAAGTGAAAAGTTTTCCACCAATGGACTGGAGTTCTCCTCTGCCATCAGAGCAACACAGACAGTTTTCGCCTCCTTGCAGCTGTCTTTTATGGCTCTAAATATGTGTGTTGTTTCCCTTCCTGCTCCAATCCCCACATCCGGGAAGTCCTACAGTTTCCTCCTCTGGGTTCTGGGATGTGCTGAGGCATAGCAGAGCGGGTGATTGTCATTGAAACTTGGCTGCAGCTGCTGCTGCTTCTGACGCTGGAGAATGTGCACTTTAGCATCATGTCCCACTCTCTGATGCTAAACAGTTCTTTTCAGTCTTTTAATAGATTCTTGGGGGAGGAGGAAGTGAAGGCTGAGGTTAGCTTTGTTCGCTTGTGTGCCTCTCAGTCAGATTGGCATCTGGCACCAAGCCTACTGTTTGGTCAGATGGTATTGTTTTCTGTTATACACACACACACACACACACACACACACACACACACACACACACACACACAGCACGAGCTCAAACCATATGTCTCTATGTCTTCAAGTTACGTTGCACTGACCAAAATCATATTTACCACACACTGAGGTATAAATTCAAAATACACGTTCTTTGGCGTCTGTAACCATGTCAAGTGAGGTTCTGTTTTTTCAATATGGCAGTGGGTTGCAGGCACTAGAGAAAACTCCCTCCAACTGATCTCTACTCTCTTTAGTGAAAAGCATGCATAGAATGTGATGAGAGGACCAGTTCAACCAATTACCTCACGCAGAGATAATTCAATCTTTCTAGGGAAGCCTCAGTGGACAATTAATGTGAATTGAACTTCCCAAATCTCTCCCTCCCAGACTTCTAAAGATGGCTAGAATTCATCTAGAAATCATATGAAACCCTGCCTTCTTTTTCCACCCAGACGTGGTTTTCTTCCAGCTGAAAGCTTCCCAGAGCCCCTTAAGACCTGCCTTCACTTTCTAGAGTGAGTTGAGAAACTTCAGAACTATGAGAACAGAGGTCAGCAAACTATGTCCCCATGGACCAAATCCAACCAGCTTCCTGTTTTTGTAAATAAAGCTTTACTGAAACAAAGCGATGCCCCCCAACTGCCTTTTTTTTTTTTTTTCCAACAAATTGTCCATGGCTGTTTTCATACTACAATGGCAATGTTGAGTATTGCCAGCAGAGGACGTTTTGCCCACAAAGCCTAAAATATTTACTATGTGGCCCTTTGCTAAAAACATGTGCAAGTGCCTGGGAAATAGAATCCTATGTCCTGAATGACTAATTGAATTAAACCAAGAAATAACAGGTCAAAAATATGCTCATATTCAATTCATACCAGGTTCATACCAGGTGAGCAGTGAAACTAGTGGCCAAATGTGCCACCTCAATTAATATTCAAATATTACAAAATCAAAGAAGTTCTCTCCAAAAAGTAGGCCTGCCATTGATTAGAAATTACTCCCTGCTGCCCTATTATCACTCTCCTCAACACAAACCATGGAGTAGCTCAGGGCTTTAGTTTCTCTGTGACTCATCCTCTTTGTTCAAGCTGACATTGCTCCCCATACTTGTTACCCCACACCTGATAGCCAGGCACCAAGATGACCATAACATTGGCATAGCCAACAGTGCTTGGGGATGTAATGACACACAGCAAATTAAATGTCATAGAAAGGAAAACACTAACAAGCTTTCTCAAGCTCTGAGTCATATATTCATCACAAGCATGTGACTACTATTGTTCCTTTTGTCTTAGAAGAAAACTCATGCAGAGACTGACTAGGCATAAAAGGCAGATTTCATATATATTTATTTAGCAGTTCTGTGAGTTCCAAAACTGCCTGAATAATTCAATCCACAGGAAAAGGACCATTACAAAGAACTCCCATCCATGACTTACTAGAGTTAATGATGTTGGTTTCCAGACAGATTGTAACTGCTGATATTATATGCATAATAATATATTCGGTGAAGTTAGTTACCCTAAGAAAATCTGCTCTGGGTACTTTTTTTTTAGAGCTGTCTGCTTTGTGGTGACTGGACTGAGAGCCAAGAGACTGGGCTGGAAATCGTGTGACTCAGGGCAAATCGCTCAACCTCTCAGTTTCAGCCAGACTCTGGAAATGTGGAGTTTAGACAAATAACAAGAAAATCACCCTCCTACCTTACAAAGCACTTTTCTGAATGTTATCGTATGATTTTTAGATGAGTTGTGTATCTCCAACATACGTAAATGCCATTGAAAATTCTGAAACCAGCTTGGCAATTCTTCAATAGTCTAGAAAAAGCAGGTCAAAGTGTGGGGCCTTTAAGAGGTGATTAGGTCATGAGAGCTTCAACTTTCTGAAAACATTAGTGCCCTTATCATGAGAGTGAGTTAGTTATCACGGGTGTGGGCTCAGGATAAAAGGATGAATTTGGCTTGATTTCCTCTGTTTCATGTGTTGGCTGTGTGATGCCTTCTGCCATGTTATGACACAGGAAGAAGACTCTCACTAGATGTGACCCTTCAGTCTTGGACTTCCCAGACCCCAGAACCATGAGACAAATATCTCTCTCTCTTTTTTTTTTGGTAAATTCCCCTCTCTGTGGTATTCTGTTATAGCAGCACAAACAGACTAAGACAAAGTGTGATTCTCATTTTTTCATCATGCCCTTCTTTATAACAAAGACATTGCTCAAGAAATAGAGTATTTTAAGGGTTTGAATTTCTTTATCCAGCACTCACCTATGCCCACTTCTTACCTAGTCCTCTTCAGATACTTTTTCTAGGTAACTGACCTCAGTTAGTTGTGCCATAGGCCTAAGATTAGAACAAAGCCAAGAAACCCTAACAGGTAACATAAAAAATGCAAGCCTATGTGCACCAACATCACTCAACTAAAGCCTGATCTTTAGAACTAGAAAAGATTCAGTGAGACACTGTGGCATCCGTGTGTCTTGGGTACATTCCTCTCCTTCCACTAGTGATGCTCAGTTAAGTTTGTGTGGAGTGTTTTGCCAGACTGAGCCCCTCTCTTTCCCAAGCATCTGTGCTAATCCTGGTGGAGTCCTTGTGGTGAAAACCTCAGACTCTGGTCTTCGTTTTCAGAATTCCTATGCAGAAGAAATTTTCTGTGTTTCTGACTGTGGTGCATAAGGGCACAGTTTTGTGGATTATAGTGTGCATTTGCGGGGCAAGGTTTTGCAGTGTATGTATTTGTACCATGGTAAAGCAGTGGATGGAATGTGGAAGGGTTAGGACACATTTTCTTGAGGCCTTTCCAGGTTGCTAAATGTTTTCTGTAAAGCTCAAGTGTATAGTCAGGCTTGGATTTCCTCTTCTGACATTCTCAGCTGGTGGCATTTGTACCTCTGGGAGTACACCAGAGTGACTGGAACTGAATGGTTGGCATAAAAATCTTCTGGGACAATGGGTAAAGAAAGATGTAAGATCTCTCTGCCCAGTAGCTGAGAGTTTGGTGTGAAAAGAAAACAAAATCAACTTCCAACTCAGTTTCTTGCCCAGTTACATTCTGCTATTCCATCAAGTCGTCCAATCCCAAATGCTTAGGAATTTTAATGTGATTCTGGTAGTTTAGAAATTAAGTACACAGGCCAAACATCAGAAGGCTTGGTGAGATGCTCAGTCCTAAGTAAAAACAATAATTAAACTAGAAAAACATTAATTGTTATAGTATCTCTTCCTGATGGGTTAGTTTATCTTATATGCCCTGAAAAAGAAAAAATATTGCATTTGAGTAAGAAAATAAAATAAACTGAAGTGCACATACGTCTGACGAACATCTATTTTTAGGACATTTTTGAGGTCTTAAAAAAAATATAAGTAGCTTGGAAAGATTTTTCAAGAACAACATTTAAGTTGACATAATTATATTGGTTTAGTAGACTTTTACTTTAGGGTAATGGTTTCCTAATTTGTTAGGACCCAAGCAACACTCATCTGTTTCAACCAAAGTAGCTACCCTTTCGTTTTCTTACTGCCTTCTGATTTTGGGGTTCTCTGTGTGATTTCCACTGCAAAAGAACTGGAAGAGCATTCATTAGGTCATTTCTGAGAATCCTTATGACTTATCTAGCTGATATAATGGAATGAAAAGGGAGATAAATCATAGAGAAAACAGTGTGACAGACACTGCTAATTTTATACCTAAATCATCCTCTTCCCACTATTCTACCCTAATTTTTCCTTACTTGCTAAACCCAAGTTTGCTCTAATACTTGAAGCTACCATGAGTTCAAGGATGGAGACCATCTTTGTCCCAAAAGTGAACCTCTATTGATCTGTATCAATCAGAGTAGTCTTAATTGCTGGCCAGTCATTATCTCAGGCATGGACATGTGCTCCAACTCTGAGCTATGTGGAACTAGGATCTCCTCGAAGCATATGAAGAAGACTTTTCTAGACAGAGAAAAGCCTTTCAAAGTAAAATCTGTTTTCTCTGCTGGATTTCTGAACCAGGGTTAGCCACATAATTTGCAGGCCCAAATGAAAATTTAAAATGTGAAGATCCTTATTCAAGAAGCAGAATCAAACATTTTCCTTTTTTTTTTTTTCAATGGTCTCTCCTTCTTGACTTGTCATAGTGGTTTTTATTTGTGCTTTGGGTTTGGGGTACCCTCAGAGACACCTAGAGCCTCGTCCTGCAACTCAGATGTACAGCACACATTACTCTGACCCCGACCCCCTGCACCTATACTCCAACCTCTGCCAGAGGCAGAGGTGGGCAGCAGCTGTTGGGCAGTGACTGGGAGCAAGTGGCCTAGAACTTGTCCCAGCAAGGAGGTCAGGCAGGACTGCCCATGAGTTGGGGCTCTGAACCCTTGGTACATGCTTCTTTGTTCCATCATACTTCACTTACAAAGCACAAATTCTAAGTAGAATTACTAAGAATTCCAATACAGTGACCACAGAGCATTAGCACCCAAGCAGGACCTGCTGAACCTGGGGCCCTACAGGAGAGCACTGATGGCCCACCCCTGAAAGTGGTCCTGGTCTTCATGTCTGCATCAGCCTCAGCCATCTCAAGACCACAACGGAAACATAGCCAAGTTAGAGAAGACAGACCAACAGCACCGGAGCCCTTCATATTATTAAGCTGCTAAATTAACCAATCTTGGAAACTTCTAGACTCAACAATTCTTGTGGTATGAGGTAATAAAACCCTTGTTTTGTAGGCCATTTTGCGGAGTTCTTTTATTAATCACAACTAAAACATTATAACGGATAGGAAAGACAACATATTGGTGAAAAATGTCTACAGAGGCTCTAGCAGGAGATGGTAAAGCTAAAAGAGTTTTGCTCTAATGTTCAAATTCATGTCACCTGCCTTAGAGAATGCTGTTCCTGCTTTTCCCTAGCCACTCTGCTGGGCATGAGAGGCCCCCTGTACTCCTTGGACCCAGAGAACAGAAAATGTCTTCACTTACACTCTGTCCCCTCACATTCCTCCACTCTTGGAAGATTTAACAAGTTCAAGTGAGAAGATATTAGCCAAATACAACAAGAGGCTAAACACAACACCCATGTTGATTGATTGGTATGTAAGAATTGAGATGACGGAAAGAGGTCACTCTGAGCTTCAGGAGTAGCTTGAAGCTAACTGATAAAACAGGTGAGGTTTGTTTTGGGCCCTCCTACCTCCCTCATAATACATTCTTCCATCCTTCAGAAGTCATCTACCACATAAATTTCTGGTTTCATACTTGGTCATTCCTGCTTATGGAGCTAACTAATAAATGTAAGGTACTATCTTCCATAAAGTGTTGGCTGCCCAGTGCCTCAATTTCCTTTAAATGTTTGTGATTTCATGATTCTTCACTGCTTTATTCCTGCCCTCCTACCTGGACAGTGGATTTTGGGGACCTTGAGAAGTTCTAAATTTATAAAACTCTACTGAAATTTATGGGACTAAAAGAAGATTAATAACATCCTCTGGAAAGAGTAGCTCCAGAGAAAAGTCACATGAAAAAAGGCCCTTGAAGGATGTGGGTTTGATCACATATGTATAGGGAAGCCTTTGGTCCTAGGAGGCTGGTAGTTTTGCACACGTGAAGCTGTCTCCCTCTGGTTGAGGAATGGATTATGATCCTTAGAAGCATCTTTATCCACATTTTAAAAATGGCTAGGCACAAAGCATGCTTCCCAGATACTTCTAGAAATTAGCACAGGGGTCTATAAATTATGATTCTTTATTCTTATAGGTTGTATACTAGGTTGAAAAATATCCCTACAAAATTTATGTCATCCCAGAACCTCAGAGTGTGAGCTTAATTAGAAATAAGTATAATTAGCTAACATATAGTCATACTGGATTCAGTTGAGCCTTAAATCCAATGTCTGGTGCCCTTATGGGAAGATAGATGAATACACACAGAAAGGAAGGTCACTTAAAGATGAGAAAGAGATTGAGTTCTATTGCCACAAGCCAAGGAACACCAAGAGCCACCAGAAGCTGGAAGAGGCAAAAAGGGATCTTCCCTTGAAGTTTCAGAGAGAGCATGGCTCTGCCAACATCTTCATTTTGGACTTCTAGGCTCTAGAACTATGAGAGAATAAATTTCTGCTATTTTAAACCACCCAGCTCGTGGTAATTTGTTACAATGGTCCTGGGAATAATACACAGGTGAAAAATAGAAGTAGACCCCCATGGGGCACATTGAACATCATGGACTAAAAAGGCTTGCAAGCTGGCCACTGACTGGGCCCTCCGTTTCACAAGGGGACATGGAGGAGTATTTCTTCAACACAATGCCTGCTCACTGTTGTGCATCAGAAGCTGTGTTTACTTTCTGTCTCACATGAGCCCATGAGGTAAGAAATATTGAATTGGATACCATCTCAAAGGTCAGCATGCCTGTCTGTTTATGTGCAATTCACACTCCTCTGGGTTTCTCTCACTCCTACCTTTTCATCAAAATCCTTCTACCAAAGTCTGATCACAAGGTCTTCCTGTATGAACTGGTGAGTTTTTCTCAGTGGCATGGACAAAAAGGCTGAAAGCTGTTGGAAGCTTCCTCCATAGTAGATTAGCAGCACATGGGTGAACCAAGCTCATACATTATTCAGAAAGGAAAAATGTGGGCTTTGACTGAACTTTGAAGGAATCAGCAGCTATTCCAGAGGAGAGTGCCCTATTGTTCTGCCTCACAGAACACAAAGAGCAAGTGGCATTCCTTACAGCATAGCTAATGGAGTGCACGCAGACACTGTGATGAACTGACCAGTGGACATCTTTCATGAGCTCTGAAATCCTGTGCAGAATGACCTATTGCTGATCAGAGGGAAGATGTTCACACTTTTTTTTTTTTAATTTATGTAGCGTTATAACTCACTGCTATCCAGAGGAGGAGGTTTCTGGAAGATAAAATGGTGCCATCTGTGGCGCCTGTATTTATTGACAGTACCAGAGTCCCCTTGGAAGGGTTACCAGGAAGATTAGGTTGACCTTTGGATCACTGGCAGGTCTTTCCCAAAAGACATGGCAAGCCTTTCCTGTGTCATGAAGCAAGAAAAGAAATGGTTGTGTAATTCAATTTTTTAAAAAAATAAAATCAATACTACATGTGTTTCTTTGATACCAGAAAACAATTTTCCAAAATGGGAAAAAGAAACCCTGACCAAAATGTTCAAGTGAAGGCTAATAGGACCTTCAGCCAAGAGCATTTACAAGAATTCTGAATTAATTCCTGGTGAAGTATCTATTTAAAAACAAAACAAAACAAAAAAGGTAAAAGACTGCTATTATAGTCCTCCTGAAGTCCTACTTTATCATCAATGTATCTGAGTACATCTTGAAATCATGATTAACTCATTTAAAAGTTCACTTGTGTATGCTTATAACTCCTGTTCACAGAGGCCCAAAGCATTTTTCTGGTTTTCACTTACTTGAAATTTTTTTCTAGCTAAAAATACAAGAAAAAAATAAGCTCATAAGAATAATCAATCTCAGAGACAGAGGAGACAAATAAAGAAAAAAAAAAAGGTGTTGAAAAGTAGAGAAGATAAATGGATCTGAATAACAAATGAAATTTTCTCTCTGGTCCCAGAACTTTTCTCCCAGGTGAAAGATGCTGGATGCTGGCATTGCTGCCACTTCTGATGCGGGGCCAAGGAGATTAATGCAGGAGGAGACCTCTTAAACAGGGGCTTTATCAAGAATGGCCTACCACTTTCATTCATTGGCCCTCTGCCATCTTTGATGTCCAAGCCAGCTAGATCGAGACATGACTGTGTTTTTAACTAGCATTCAACCTTTAGGTTTTACAATGGAATTATTTCCCCAAATCTGCCATCTGCTGTTTTCTAGAGTGGATTGACAATTATTCTCTGGACTTTTTGGTAACCAAGAACTTCTAGCAACTAACCCTGGCATGACCACCAGAATCTGCAGGGCTGAGAGAAGGAAAGAAAGGCAAAAGTGGACGAATGAAGCTGAAGGTAAGGATTATAGAGCTGTTATCTGATGTAGGGCAATGTTATCCAAAATGTAACTTGAGGTGCATTAGAGGCTTGGCCAATAAAATATCAAAAGAAGACTGCCCATTTTTTTCTGTTTTAAATTATTGGAGAAAATACCAATAACCAATAAAAGGAAGCAAGCAATAACATTGAAAATTGCTCTTTCAATATTTGTAAAACTTGGTTCTCTGAATATAATTCTAAAGCACTGAAATTAGAAAGATACTATCATAAAGATCAGTTAGTATTAAAAAGACATCTTAAAAAAACCCTATTGTTTGAAAGTTAATAACCTTGTAATTAATCCAACTGCCCAGGATATTAATGAAAACAAGAATATTTGGTTCAGCCAATCTCAGTAACTCAATAAACTATGCTGGGATCAAATTGGTTACTTAGTGATCAGTGGTACTTACAGATTAAGAAAAGTAGGCTGGGCACGGTAGCTCACGCCTGCAATCCCAACACTTGGGGAGGCCGAGGCGGGCAGATCACAAGGTCAGGAGATGGAGACCATCCTGACTAACACGGTGAAACCCCGTCTCTACTAAAAATACAAAGAAAAAACTAGCCAGGTGGGATGGCTACTCGGGAGGCTGAGGCAGGAGAATGGCGTGAACCCGGGAGGCGAAGCTTGCAGTGAGCCGAGATCGTGCCACTGCACTTGGCCTGGGCGACAGAGCGAGACTACGCCCCCCCACCAAAAAAAAGAAAGAAAAAAGTAGATTGCATTTCAATTTATTACACCATTTTATAGAAACATAGAAACATAGAGAACTCTACTTATAAATACAGTTCCCACCGAATAAGATCTTTTTAAAAATCCCATTATAATAAATGTGCTGAACACAAGTGTTGTTAAACTTCATGTTGGCACAAGTTTTGTTAAACTTCATGTTGCTTCTCTTCCTTCAGGCGATTTACTCAGCAATTAATTATATTCAGCCTTCATAGTTAGCTTTGCTTCAGGGTTATTTCCCCAACTAGATTATAGACATCTAAAACCACATCCTTTCAGTTTGAGAGGACTTTTTAAAGGTCATCCATCCAATGCTTGCCCTCTACTCCCCACCCACCCAATGAAGGGAATAATTTATATCTGGCTTTAACAACGGCTGGGGAATCTAAAATAATTATCATCTTATTGAAGATAAAGCATCTCAATATTACTGAATAAATAAATAATATGTTTGAACTATTCAAAATATCCAGTAGCTTCTCTAATGTTGCACAGCTGTAGTGCACACCTTACCCCTGTGAGCTGGGCTACTCTTCTCTAGCTGGGTAAGCTGAGCAGAAGCAGGCCGCCTTGTTACTTAGTGGGAGATCATCCAGCACTGCCATATAATACAGGTCTTCCTGTAAAATAGTGCCTAGAATACAAAGGGAAATCAAATATTTGAGCTATATAGAGGCTGAATATCAAATTTCCCCAACAATTGCATTGATTCACTTGACTAGAATTCATTCTGGAGAAAAATATCAGATCTATTGAGACGTTTTATTTTTTAAATAGCTAATTAAGATGGTAAACAATGTACTTGAAATACTCTTATATTTTGAGCTTCCTGTAGTATAAAATTTCTACTTATAATGCATCTATTTTCTAATTATCTTTCTATAGTATTTAAACATATGTGTTACCAAGGTTACTGAGTAGATAATTTCTGTTGAGTAATGAAATTTTAAATATCTGGGAAGACCAACATAAAACAAATCCCAGTAAATGAATTAAGCATATATTTATTTGCCCACTATGCTAACCATTGTGGGATTCAACAAACACTGAAAGAAAAGTATTACCTTGTTTATATTTTGCTTGGCAAATATTCCTAAATATGTGGATTAAATTGATCTTTCGTCATTACACCTGCTTGATCATAAGGGAAGGAAAGTGATTTTTTAGAGGAATAAATATTTATGTTGATAGTCGAAATTTTGATTTTTAAAAACTGCCAGTATTTTGTCATTTTTCTGGTGTTCAGATTTTAAAAGCACAATTCAATTCATATAGTACTTAAAGAAAAGCAACATGATTTTTTATAAACTTATTTAATAATACATATAATGCTTAAACTTATTATGTAATTTGGTAATTTAAGAAATTTGTTGATATTGAGTGAAGCTATATGAATCATTGCAAGTCACCAGATTTGCCCTAATAAAATTCTTTAGCATTTTTACACATAAAAATTATTTGCAATTCAATAATTCATCCCTTCATTCATTTCATAGATGCTATGGAACTCCTATCACATTCCAAGTGCTGTGTTGATATCTGGAGATACAGACAAGATCAAAGCAGATGCAGAGTCTTTCACATGAATATGTGAATCAGGTAATATGTTCCCCAAATTAGCAAAGTATCTCCCAGATTCTTTCTTTGATGATATATTCAAAATCCTAATGCTGAAAGTTAAATTATCAGGGTTTTAAAACTAGAAGCAGTCATTATCAGCATTTTATATACTATTTATTTTTAAGAACATAAATTGTCTAAGTCATTATAATTTTAAGTGAAGTACTTTGGGTAGTCACAAATAAAGTAATGGGCAGGTATTTAGTATTCATATTGTGTGGATTCATATCCATACTCTGCCACTCAGTATCTCTGGGATTTTGATGAACGATCAAACTCTCTAAGCCTCAGTTTTCTAATCTGTAAAGCAGAAATGATAACGGTATGTAGTGATTAAAACAATTTACTAGTTGTAAGTGCTTAGAACAGTTCCTGGAATATAGAAAATTTGCAGAGACATTTTAATTTTATTTACAATTTAGTTAATGGAATGGCTTCAATAATACAGTAAAATGAAGATATTCAAACAAGCAGGAGGCAGGTGAAGACTATTGGCCTCAGGATGCAGGTGAAGAGTATTGGCCTCAGCTTCAGAGACCAGAGGTTAAATCTCAATGCTGCCACAAAAGGGTTCATGGAAGTCAGTAAACAATGCTTTTTTTATTATTGTTATGAAGATACAGTGCGTGGATCCCTCTCAATTGTCTATTCTTCTGTGTCACAAAAATTTGCCTGCTTTTTGTTACCATGTGAGAAGCAAATGAATTGAACTAAATGGTTTCTAATGCCTTGTCCACTTCTAAAATTCTATGGAACTGTGATTTCATTCCAATGGGCCGTATCAGGACTTGGCATTATTTTCATCAGTGAACCATTTCATTAGAATTTTTTTTTTTCGAAATGATATTAGTAAATATTGAAGGAGGCTTCTCTCACAGAGCTTCTTGTAAAAATTAAAACAGGGCGGTAGAAGGTTTTCAGGTTGGTGAAATCAACTCTGGCTTTTAGTCAACCATTCCAAAAAACATTTTCTTTAGAATCCAAGGGCTTGCAATTGTTCTGAATAAAGGAGAAAGAAGCTGTTCTGATTTATTAAATAAAAAGAGTACCACATATTTAATTTTTAAAATGTTTCAAAGTGCTTTTGTATTTATTATTTCATTTTTTCTACCCTGACGGTAATTTTTCAGAAGAGAACTTCACTGGAAACCTGACATCCTAGGCTTTGCATTCATTATATGATTTACCTATAAGGAACGGATTACATGTCTTTGAGTCAACTCACTTATATAGTGCCTTTCTCTTGTGAACATTTAAATTTTTTTTTTTCAAAAAGTTACTTGGGAAAAGTTAGTCCTCAAATGGTCAAGTTATAGTTATAAAAAGAAAAATGAATTAGACACCCAAACACAGTCTTGAGATTTAACAGCCTTTGTAAGCAGCACTTTTATTTCCATACACAGAGTTTTAATCATTGGCACATCCTACTCACAACTATACATTGGAGATTAAATAAGTATTTGAAACATTACCATGACATTTGCAAAAGCAAACACACTGGTCTAAAAAGAAATATACTTGTGGGAAGAAAAAAATGTTCAGCTGTCTTACATTGCCTTGAGATTTTCTTATTAAAGATCCTTACAATATTGTGACACATTGAGGACATGTCCAAAAACTGAAAAATGTTAGGAAGTTTCAATTTAGTAGTTTGGCTCATCTTGACTGAACATCATTGCCTGGTAAATCAAACAAATAATTGTGCAGGTGTCCATTATGAGGACGAAGAGAAATGTTTAACAACGAAAACAAATTGGCCAATTCAGTCATTATATACTATCAGTCTTCTATTCCTCAATTTTTAAAATAAAGCAGTGGTAAAATTAAATCAATTAGTTTGCCAACAGATATATATGGAACATCTGCTGTGTGTTTTTACCTGTGGAATATTTCGTAGGTTAAGATATATCATCTGTCTGTGGTGTGGTTTTTTTGTTTGTTTGTTTTGTTTTTTTGTGTGTGTTTTTTTTGAGATGGAGTCTTGCTCTGTTGCCCAGGCTGGAGTGCAGTGGTGCGATCTCCGCTCACTGCAAGCTCCGCCTCCCGGGTTAGGCCATTCTCCTGCCTCAGCCTCTTGAGTAGCAGGGACTACAGGCACCCACCACCACGCCCGGATAATGTTTTTGTATTTTTAGTAGAGACGGGTTTTCACCATGTTAGCCAGGATGGTCTCTATCTCCTGATCTCGTGATCCGCCCGCCTCGGCCTCCCAAAGTGTTGGGATTACAGGTGTGAGCCACCGCGCCCTTCGTATAGCAGGAGAGGTCACATATAAACACGTGAAACAATTCTTCCAGCTTCATTCCTATCACATTAGCCCAAGGCACCATCATCTCCTCCCCAGATTTCTGCATGTCCTCTGTTTCTTCATTTGCCCTTTTATAATATTTCTTCTACACAGGAGTCAGTGATCATCCATTACATTTAAAAGAAAACCTATACTGTTTAGCATAGGAGGAGGAGAAGGGTGAAGAGGAAAAGAAATCATGCTATTTTCCCTATCCCATACTTTTCAAATTTCTCCACAGTCTGACCCTATCTCTCTTACCACATCTCTTGTCACTTTTCACCTTGCCCAAGCTGCAGTCTATCTTTTTCTGCCGTAAGTAATGCCGATGGGAGTATCTTTCTTTATCTTATCTTTCTATACCTTTCTTTATCTTATCTGTCTTGCTCTTTGTATCTGCATTGTCTCGAACAATGTCAGGCATGTAGGAAGCATATAATAAATATTTAAAATAATAAGGAATAAAAGAGTATTATGTACTTTCTATATATTGGTAGCCTAAATTTGCAAACTGTTTACAGACATTAAAGAACAGAATAATCATTTATTTTTATTTATTTATTTATTTTTGAGATGGAGTCTCACTCTGTCGCCAGGCTGGACTGGCTTCAAGCCATTCTCTTGCCTTAGTCTCCTGAGTAGCTGGGACTACAGGCATGCACCACCATGCCCAGCTAATTTTTGTATTTTTAGTAGAGACGGGGTTTCACATGTTGGCCAGGATGGTCTCCATCTCCTGATCTTATGATCCGCCCACCTCGGCCTTCCAAAGTGCTGGGATTACAGGTGTGAGCCATTGTGCCTGGCCCAGAATAATCTTTTATAAAATCATAATACATACCAAGTTCAAAAATAAAATAATTTTTAAAATAATTGGGACAGTAAGCATAAGGTAGACCTCATGGGAGGCTAAGCCTTGAGATGGGTCTAGAATAATAATCTGAATTCAATAGGTGAACAGGAGGGATGAGGTATAGCATTCTAGCACAGTACAAAACCAAACGTGAGCCAGGAGTGGGAGTAGATGTGTGAATATGGTTGGAAGAGGACATTAAGAAGGCCAAACTGATAGACCCACGCATTCAGATTAAGGAAGACTGGAAACGAAGTGTGGATAAGAACAGCCAAATCATTAAAAGACTTGGGCAGATCAAGGAGATTATACTTGATGAAGTAGGAAAGCAAAATGGATTAAATGTTTTTGAGGAGATTGCCATCATGACAAAAGTAGTGTTTTAGGAAGATTCATCTTGCAGCACATGGAAGGTGGAATAAAGGAGGTAAATAACTTTAGGCCGGAATACCTGCTGACCAATGTCAATCTTTGAGAATGAGGTGATAAGGTGAGGGCCGTAGTATGAAGTGACAAAGATAGTAAGAGAAAGGGGACAAACCATAGAGGACAACAACCCATGGTGTGAATTTGGGTGTGCAAGAAGGGAGAAAGTCAAAGCTAATAAGACACAATGTGTACTAAAAAACACCCTTTCCAGCAGGAGACTGGAGACAAAGGAAGCCATATTGCTAAAGGTCAACCTTCTACACCCCAAACATAAAGGTTACCCATGTGCTTTAAGTTTCTATATCTTTCTCAGTATTTGAACAAATTTAAAATATGTCATTCTAGAATCCTATTATTAGATTATGGCTCTTTCAAAGTCTCTCAGTGAATTATACATCTATAATTTATAGCTTTCTTATCAATCAATAAAATGTTTCAGTATAATTTATAGGCTGTTTGTCATAAATATCCATTAAGGTGTCTTCCAAAACACCCCTTCTCTGCCTACTCCATTCACAGAAGTGGATCTGGCTGGCAATACCTGATTGAACACTGACATGGGCACCTGTTTTAAGCTGGTCCAGTTAGAACCTGGCCTTGAGAATTTTAACCAGTAAACAATAGGCAAAAAGGAACAGACGCATGTTCCTTACGGAACTCTAGAGAAAAAAATCCATGAGTTTGGAGGAGTTTTGTCTCCATCCCTTCAAGTGCTTCATTGTTCAAGTATTTTTTCATTTCTTTTGTCCCTTTTTATCATCTTCTGGTTTCTATTATATACGACTCAAAGAAATTTAATGAGTACCTACTTACGGAACTTGTATCAAATGCAGATGCAGATGTTTCTAGTGGAACTGGGAAATGAGAGCAGAACAAATGTAATTGTGGAACTTGGAAAGAAAGCTTGCACATTAATAAAACTCTTTGCAAAACTCATCTAAAACAGGCAAGTAACATTTGACTCATAAACACAGGATTCGACTTCTGTTTGTCTTTCTCTTCCCAGAAGAGTGATGCTTTTGGTAGGAGGTTTTCCCATGTTTTCCCAATTTACCATCTCCTTGGTCAAAGAAATACAAACTTTTAAGTTTGGAGGGTGTAAGAACAGATGAGCTGTGGTTTCATTTAAAAAAGATAGAAGGGTATAAAATCTAAATTGCCAGAAATAAAATGTGAGTTAAGACATAACAGTTTAAACGGCGATGCTAGCTTCCCCTGGTCACTGGGATTCTAACAGTACAAACGCTTAACAGAGTTGAGACACCTACTCTCTTATGGATGGAGAGAATATGAAAACAGCAGAGCCTGTTTTTGTAAGTGGCACCCAAGGATGTTTCTACTCACCCTGAATAGTACTTCAGTTCATTAACTAAAATACTTTTATATTATGGTAGATTGGTTTTCTATTGGCTTTACTTTGGAATATTTTATGAGATGCTTACAGAGGTAAGCTTAAGAAATACTGGGCTTTTAAAATAAGAATCAACAGGGTGGGAGGCGTTGGTATATTCTTTCATTTATTCAAAATATTTCTTATGCTGCCAGGTATCATGCTAACAAAGTGATTTCATAGACTATTTGTTTGTTTGATTTAAGGATTTGGTTGCTACTTACATAAATCTTGCTCTGATAGAAAGGCAAACATTAGGCAAAGAATTGTATAATAATATGATTACAGACTGTGACAAGTAAACTGAAAGTAAAAGAAACTGACAGAAATATTATTTAGTTAGGAAAGCCTCTCTGAGGAAGTCTGGATGAGTGAGAAAGAATGACTGCATCTTAGCCAAGAATTGAGGAGAAATGGGATGGGTTTGGAGTCAGGGAAAGGGCATTCTGGAAAAAGTGAAAAACTTGTAAACGGTTTTATGGCAGGGAAGAACTGAGTACCGTTGAGTAAATGAAAGGGGCCAGAGGGCTGGAGCCTAGTGAAGCAGGAGTAGCATACAATCGGAGGAGGCTGGAAAACTGGGGAAGACAAGATAACATAGGTCCTTACAGGGTAGGTTAAGGATTTGGGGTTTTATCTTGAGTGCAACAGAAAGCATATCATTGAAATGCTGGAAAGCCTATTCGACCTGCTATGTTGAGAATGGGTTGTTGCAATGAATCAACAGTGGAAGCAGGGAGACCAGTTTAAAGGTCAAGGCAGCAGTCCAAGGAAAAGATGAGATGCCATCAATGGAGCAGCGATGGAGAAATGATAGCTGAGTTTTGGGATTAATGCACTTCTAATCCCCTAGATCATGCCTACAGTTTGACTTGGGAAATTACTTTAAAAAGACATTTAAGGCTAGCCATATGGCATCCTTCCATCACTATTCCATCTGAGGTGTTTTTGCTTGAG